GAGCTGGCCACCCACTAACCCTCCTCCCGAGATCTCCAGTCCTGGCTGCAGTCGCCTTCCCAGAGATCGGCGAGGTCTCCCCGGATCACCATGTTCCCTCGCCCTCTGACCCCACTGGCGTCCCCGAAAGGAGCCGAGCCCCTGGGCCGCACGCCGAGGCGGTCTCCATTGAGTAGGGCCCGGGCTGGACTCGGAGGGCCACCCCTGCTGCTGCCGTCCATGCTGATGTTTGCAGTGATCGTGGCCTCCAGCGGGCTACTGCTCATGATCGAGCGGGGCATCCTATCGGAGATAAAACCCCTTCCCCTGCACCCTCCCAGCCACAAAGGCGCGGCCTGGCGTGGGACAGCTCCCAAGCCTGGAGGCCTATCCTTGGATGCTGGGGACTCCGACTTGCAAGTGCGGGAGGATGTCCGAAACCGGACCTTGAGGGCAGTGTGCGGACAACCGGGCATGCCCCGGGACCCCTGGGACTTGCCGGTGGGACAGCGGCGCACCCTGCTGCGCCACATCCTCGTAAGTGACCGCTACCGCTTCCTCTACTGCTACGTCCCCAAAGTGGCCTGCTCTAACTGGAAGCGCGTGCTGAAGGTGCTGGCGGGCGTCCTGGACAACGTGGATGTCCGCCTCAAGATGGACCACCGCAGTGACCTGGTGTTTCTGGCAGACCTGCGGCCTGAGGAGATTCGCTACCGTCTGCAGCATTACTTCAAGTTCCTGTTTGTGCGAGACCCCTTGGAACGCCTCCTGTCTGCTTACCGCAACAAGTTTGGGGAAATCCGAGAGTACCAGCAGCGCTATGGGGCTGAAATTGTCAGGCGCTACAGGGCTGGAGCTGGCCCCAGTCCTGCAGGGGACGATGTCACCTTCCCAGAGTTCCTGAGATACCTGGTGGATGAGGATCCTGAGCACATGAATGAGCACTGGATGCCTGTGTACCACTTGTGTCAACCATGTGCTGTGCACTACGACTTTGTGGGTTCTTATGAGAGACTGGAGGCTGATGCCAATCAGGTGCTGGAGTGGGTGCGGGCCCCACCCCATGTCCGGTTCCCAGCTCGGCAGGCCTGGTATCGGCCGGCCAGCCCGGAAAGTCTACATTACCACCTGTGCAATGCCCCACGAGCCCTGCTTCAAGATGTGCTGCCTAAATATATTCTGGACTTCTCCCTCTTTGCTTACCCACTGCCCAATGTCACCAGGGAAGCTTGTCACCAGTGATAGTTGGCCAGCAGCTTCTGGAGTTTGGTTTAGTGACACCAGCTTTGAAGTGCCTTTCACAGAAACCCCTGGTTCTGGGGCTTGCTAGTTTCTCTAGGTATCATCGTATCTCAGTGGCTGGGACTGCCCTCAGGCTGGCCTCCTGTTTCCATCTATCCTCAGCCACTGAGGCCAGCTGCTATCACTGGTGGACTCTCTTAGGAGCCAGTGGCATCCTTATCTGGCAGGGCCAGACACCAATGTGTTATTAAAACCATATGTTTGATATAAAGACTGACTTCAGGTTCCTGGCTGCTAGGCCTGTGCAGCCCACCTGGTCCATCGTAACTTAACCTGTGGCCAAATCCTGAAGGCGGCACCAGCCAAACACATGACCATGCCCAGGACCAATGGCTTTGACCTCCTGGTTGCCCACCCCATTAACCTCAGGACTAGAGTGAGCTGTGGTGCCTTAGAAATAAATTTTGAGCCTTTCTACTCCAGACTAAATTTACTATACTTTCCTACACATTTCCGTTTTTCCAAGGAAGGAGAAACTGAAGTAGGGCCCTTACCTCACAACCCCTCAAGCACCCAAAGACCCCTGTGCCTGACCTCTTCCTAGGGTTCTTGGAGCATCTTCAATAAGCCTCCCTTCCCTACAAAGCCTTTGAGATTGTGTCTGTGGTCAGTGTATTGGTGTAGCTGTCAATCGTCTAACACATTTATTTAAAATGTGTATAAATATGTATATATATATGTGTGTGTATATATATACACTCACACATACGTTTTTTGTTTTAGTTTTAGTTTTTCAAGACAGGGTTTCTGTGTAGCTCTGGCTCTCCTGGAACTCGATTTGTAGACCAGGGTGGCCTCGAACCCAGATTTCCACTTGCCTCTTCCTCCTGAGTGCTGGGATTAAAGGCATGTGCCACCATGTCCAGTTAAATGTGTATATTTTGATAGAATCCTTGTAAGGGCTGACTTTTAATAAAGCTGTTTTATATACAAAATGAGTGTTTCTGTGATTACTATCGGTTCCCATAGGTGCTGGAGGAACCCCAGATGTTTGCTTCCCCAGATCAAAAGAGGAAGCTTTCAGGTAGAAACACTTAACTAAACCTGTTTAAGCAGGTCCAGTGGCCCTGCCACACCATGAAGCCTTTGAGAACTTAATAGGCTCACAGACTCAGTTTCTAAAATGCCATTTAATAAAAGGCAGGGCCTGTCAAAAATGACATCAGCCAGAAGAGGGGAATGTACCCACCTTTTAATCCAAGAACCCTGAAGCCAGAGACAGATGGACTCTGAGTTTGAGGTTAGGCTGATATATATATAGTTCCAGATCAGCCAGAGCTATCCTGTGTGGCATCAGGTATAAAGCACATGTATGTAGAATGAGGGCTGGAGCCGTTGCTCAGCAGTTAAGTCTAGAAGGACTTGAGTTCAATTTCCAACACCCATCTCTGGTGGCTCACAGCTGCCGGTAACTCTAGCTCCAGGTGATGCAATGGCTCTGAGCTCTGTGGGTACCCATACATACATGATACACACACAGAGAGATACACACATATACAAAGTAAATCAAAGAAAAAGACGGGAATAAATAGGAGGCATGGAGTCTGCATTATCTTAGTTAGGCAGGGATATGTCATTTTTTTTTATTTTGTTTTGGTGTTTTTTTTTTAATTTTGGTTGGTTTTGGTTTTGGTTGTTTTTTTTTTTTTTATTGTGGTTTGGTTTTGGTTTTTAGGTTTTTTGCTTTTTGTTTTGTTTTGTTTTTTTGAGACAGAGTTCTGTCTCTGTATACCCTTGGCTGCCCTAGAACTTGCTATGTAGACCAGGCTGGCCTTGAACTCAGAGATCTACCTGCCTCATGTCTCCGACTGCAGGAATTAAAGGTATGAGCTACCGCACCTGGTTAATTTTTTTTTTTTCCTTTGAGACAAGAGTTTCTCTGCAACTTTGGAGCCTGTCCTGGAAATTGATCTGTAGACCAGGCTGGCCTTGAACTCACAGAGATCTGCCTGTCTGCTTCCCAAGTGCTGGGATCAAAGGTGTGCACCACCATTGCCAGGCTAATTTTTTTTTAAGGTAAGGTGGCCCACTATATATTTTTTTAATTGGTGGTGGGAGGTCTTAACATACCTAAGTTGGATTTACACATACAATCCTAATTCCTCAGCCTCTGGAGTAGCCAGAATTACAGGTGCCTACCATCATGCCTGCTAGAAACACCTCTTTCAGGAGCTCCCACCTCCACCCCAGTATTTTCAAACAAAAAGAAGGTATTGCTGTGTGAACAAGGGGAGCACTGAGAACTACAAGAAGGGACTGTCAACAACTGTGAGCTCAGGGACCTCAGTAGTCCTCCACCTCTGTCCCACTACCTGCTCTTTCTTTCTTACCTGGCATTTACCGTAACTCCAAACCTGTATCACCCAATTGGGCCCCTATCTAGTGTCCTAGTGCACAGGCAGCCTCGGAAGCCTACATGTAGAATGTGAGGTCCAATTGCTGGCTCTGTTTCGTTCGTTTAATAATACTAAGGAGTTCATTCTCTAAAGTGTCATCCTATTTTACAGATGGGGGAATTGGCATAAAGGCGGTGAGTAGCCCACCCGGAGTCTACTCACACCAGGCGTACATGCCTCCCAATTAGGAGGGAAGAAGAAAAGAGCAGACACAGGGACAGATGGGGCCACTGACCACACTGGGAGATGTAGAGTTTATGGAAGGTGGGAATGGAGAGAAGAAAGGATAGAAAGTCGGGAATACATGAAGGACTGATGGGCTTGTGGATAGGGGTACATTTCTCCACTCTTATTTGGAAAGAATTAAACTTGACCTAACTGGTTGGCCAATAAGGCCCGTTCTGAAGGGGAAGGGGAAGGGGCTAATGAGGTCCTTGGTAGGATTAGCATATTGGCTCTTTCCCACCTGGCAGAAAAAGGATGTTGGGCCACAGAGCAACATCCTTTGGCCAGATGTGGGTAAGAGCCAATATGCTATTCCTCCCAAGGACGGCCAGAGGTGGGCAGCTGTGCTATAGGAGGAGGAGTGAAGGTAGTAAGAGCGGAGAGAGCAACAAGACGAACAGCCTGCTGGACCTTTTTTGCTTAGAGTCAGCCAAGCAATCTGTTACTAAATTTCCTTTCCAGGAAATGAACTTCTTTAAAAAGTCCACACGGAAATGACGGAGAGTGGGGCCCCCGATGGTTCTAGTGGGAACTGGCTTACCCTGGGTTCCCAGGCCAGAGCTGGAGGGTGCTGTGGGCTCTGGGTCAGCAGGGGAGGGACTGTCCAGGACTGCACCCTAAAAGTGCATCTTCTCAGGATCCCAGCCTTTCCCTGGGTCAGCTGTGACCCCACACAGAGCCGAACTAGCTGGGAGAACAAGGACCGCTGAAAAATAACTCCGCCCACAACAACTCAGGTTCCCTGGACACAGAGGGTTGAGACTGGCTTCTGTCAGATCTCCTGAGTCTGGAGCCTGACTCCACTCCCCAGCTCTAGCGCTGCCCATCTCTCTTCCTATCTGAAGCTGCTGCAGAGAAATCACCTCAAATTCTCAGGTCTATCCCTCTCCCTTCAGGAGGATACCATACTGGACCCTGCAGGAAGCCATAAAGGCACCCTGCCTCCCTGGGAGAACACAGAACCCTCACTTCTAGAGAATCTGGTCACCAGAGGGGCCGAGTTCCTAGGATGGACTCAATAAAACAATTCTACAGATCATGGGAAACAACACTGTTTTCCACAAGGACTGTTCAAGGTCAAAATACTTGTAAAAAAAAATAGTTGTTCACTCTAATATCTACCCTAGATACAATGATTCTGTTAAATCCCTACAACAATGGGCCACTCCTAGGATGGACCACTCCTAGGATGGACTGGTACCTTTCTTTTTCAAACCAGCTTCTGCTTTTCAGATTCTGAAAACACTAGTAACTGCTCTAAATTGCCAGAGCCCGAGCACTGTATATGTGCATTCCTCACCATGCAGCACCAGCATAAGATCTCTCCCTATCCTAGAGCAGAGGAAATCAAGCTCTAGGTGGGGAGAGAAGAGCCTGGGATTGAAACCCAGCTCTGTCTAGTGAGTGAGCATGAGCTGTTCTATAAGTGCTGTGTTTGCTGTGAGCACGTGTTCATTTTTTTCTCCTGAGTTTTTGTACCCTTTTCCAGACTTCTTTCCTAACACTGTAAAATTGGTTCTCTTCACAGACTTCTCCAAATCTGACAACATTCCTCAGGCTTGCCCACCCCAAAGGTCAGCTTTCTGGTGCTGCTGACCCCAAACCATGAATGCAATCTGTCCAGATTTTTTAAGCGATTATGAATACAGAATTTGATGAGCAAGAAATTTACTTGAAGAACTTGAGCACTGTGGGAAAACTGTACTCCAAGTACTTGGGAGACTAAGGCAGAAGATTTCCTAAGATCTTGGCTTGAAGAGGAAGGAAGGAAGGAAGGAAGGAAGGAAGGAAGGAAGGAAGGAAGGAAGGAAGGGATGGAGGAGTAAGAAAGGGGAGGGAGGAGGGAGGAGGGGAGGAGAAACAGGACTTCTGTTGGTCACAGTAGCTCATGCCTATACTCTCAGCTCTGAGCTGTGACTCTGAAGCCAAGCGGATACATCTATATGGCGAATTTCAGGCCAGCCAGGTAAGGAGCAGGGAGTCAGAAACAACCTGTGTCTGTGAGATGAAAAGCCAGGAAGAATCCTGAATCTACTAAGTCTGTATATGGCAGGACTATAAGAGAAATTCCATCAGAAGGCAATCGCTATGGGTGAACTACAGCCCAGGGTTAGTACTCCCGCCATGCTGGAAGCAGCCTGGGAAACCTAAGCACAGAGGTGAACAGAAAGGTGCCAAGGACAGCAAGCAGGGGTTCTTGTCAGCCAGCTGCACTTTCCCAGCAAGTCATCTTAAAGAAAGATTCTAGAAGTGTAAGCCCATGGCGGCCTCACAGAACCAGTGTGCCACTTTGACTTATTTACCTAGTATCCCCTTGGGGTCTGTAGAAATCATTTTATTTAGCGGTGCTGGGTGTTGACCCAAGGTCTTGCTCATGCCAGGCAGGCGCTCTACCAGTGAGCTGCATCCCCAGCCTTTGTGGCTTTTGTTTTTTAAATATTTAATTAGGCTGAGAAGAGAGAGGGAGAGAAGGAGGGAGAGAGGGAGGGGGAGAGGTTTGTATTCCAATGTGGGCGAGTGCCATAGCAAAGATGTGACAATGAGAGGACAACCTTGAGCATGTCCTTGCCTTTCATCTTGACGACACAGGGTCACTTGTTGTTTTTTCACTGTGGATGCCAGGCCAGTTTCTAGAGATTCTCCTGTCTCCACCTCCCTTCTCATCAGAAGAGCACATGTGATACTTTGCTCAGCTGTGGATGGGTAGAGGGGATTCACACTCAGACCCTGAAGCTTTTTACTCACTGATCGAACCCCCAAGCTCTTGTTTGTTTCTTTTCTTTTTTTTTTTTTTTTTTTTTTTTTTTTTGGGGAGGGGGGGGGTTTAAAAAGGGGTTTTTTTTTTTTTTTTTTTTTTTTTTGGTTTGGTTTGGTTTTTGTTGTTGTTGTTTTTTGTTTTGTTTTGTTTTTGTGTAGCCCTGGATGCCCTGAAACCCACTCACTCTGTAGACCAGTCTAGTCTCAAACTCACAGAGGTCCATCTGCCTCTTGCCTCCCGGGAGTGCTAGGTTCAAAGGCCTGTGTTTCAGCCACCACCACCCGGCTTCAAATTTTATTTTGAAAATATGTTATTTTGTATCTGT